GATTAACTTGTAATAGGAAAAGTTAAGTAGTTTCTATTGCATATATATAGAGATCAAAAGTGTAAGGAGATCTCAAGAAAGAAAGTTTAAAGAAAGCAAAGGAAGNGCTTCAAGAGATAACTTAGGAAACAAGTTATTCTAAAGATAAGGTGAATAACTAATAGATTTAGGATAAAGATAAAGGTTCCTAGATTAACTTGTAATAGGAAAAGTTAAGTAGTTTCTATTGCATATATATAGAGATCAAAAGTGTAAGGAGATCTCAAGAAAGAAAGTTTAAAGAAAGCAAAGGAAGATTAATAAAACAAAGAAAACGTTTTATTAACTTGTGTCTTATTCTCTATATTTGGTATCAGAGCAACCAGGTTATTGCTTTAAGAAGATCAAGACACACATACGATGGGTGATACAGAAGTCAAACCGCAGATGAAGACGACAGTGCCGCCTTCGGTAAAAACACCGATGCTAACGACAACAAACTATGCGGTCTGGACGATGCGCATGAAGGTGTTGTTGAGGTTCCATGAAGTATGGGAATCCATTGATCCAGGGTCAAAGGATCAAAAGAAAAACGACCTAGCTACTGTCATACTATTCCAAGGAATTCCAGAGAATCTAATCTTGCAAGTTGGTGATCAAGAATCTCCTAAAGAAATATGGGATGCGTTGAAAGCCATGAATCTTGGTGCTGATCGTGTAATAGAAGCACGATTACATACACTAATGATTGATTTTGATCGTCTAATGATGAAAGATAATGAATCAATAGACTCATTCTCAGGAAGAATATCAGAACTAGTAGGAACAACAGCTTCGTTAGGTCATACGATGGAGGAACCGAAACTTGTGAAGAAGTTTCTTGCTTGTCTCCCAGACAAGTTTCTACAATTATCCGCAACTCTCGAACAAGTTCTTGACCTAAATACAACAAGGTTTGAAGATGTAGTGGGTCGACTCAAGGCGTTTGAAGAGAGGCTACGTGGAAAAGAGCGAATGAAAGGAGAAAAGATCGAAGAACAAGGAAGCCTTCTCTACTCTGATCATGGAAACAGAGGGAGAGGAAGAGGTTCGAACAGAGGTCGTGGAAGAGGCAATAGTGGAAGAGGACGTGAGAGAAGCAGTTCATATGATAAAGGCAAAGTAAAGAGGGACTATTCTCAAATTGAATGTTTCAATTGCCATAAGAAAGGTCACTTCGCCTCTGTTTGCACTGAAAAGAAAGATGATCAACAGCTTAACAAGACTGAGACAGAAGCAGCAGAAGTAGCACTTACATGAACTAGTTTACTTGAATGAAGAAAAGGTAATGCCAAAAACGCTTGAGCCAAGTAAGACAGATGATAAGAGTTGGTTTCTTGACAACGGAGCCAGCAACCATATGACTGGGGAGAAATCTTACTTCTCAGAGCTCAACGAAAACATAAAAGGGAAAGTAAAATTCGGAGACGGTTCATGTGTGAAGATAGATGGTAAAGGCTCAATTCTCTTCGAAGCAAAGACAGGAGAACAAAAACTTCTTAAGGATGTGTACTACATTCCAGACCTAAGAAGCAATATACTTAGTCTCGGTCAAGCCACATAACAAGGGTGTGATGTAAGGATGAAGGATAACTACTTGACTTTGAGAGATCCAAGCGGGAGACTACTAGTAAAAGTACTAAGATCTGTTAATCGGCTCTATAAGATATCTCTCAAAGTAGGTAAACCAACATGTCTTCTCTCGAAGATAAGTGAAGAACTGTGGAGATGGCACGCCCGTCTCGGGCATATTAACTTCAAAACAACACGAAGTATGGCAACACAGGAGATGGTTCTAGGCTTACCAGATATCAGCGAAGTAAAACAGATGTGCGACTCTTGTCTTGTTGGAAAACAAACACGAAACAGCTTTCCCTCTGCAACTCAGTACAGATGAAAGCAAGCATTAGAGTTGTTACACGCCGATCTCTGTGGGCCAATCACTCCAGCAACATTGGCACAAAAAAGTATATATTTGTCATTATAGATGACAATACAAGATTCATGTGGTCTATATTACTCAGAGAGAAAGGAGAAGCCTTTGAGAAATTTAAGACCTTTAAAGCTCTCGTAGAAAAAGAAGTAAACAAGTCTATTGTTACTCTCAGAACAGACAGGGGAGGGGAGTTTACTTCAAGAGATTTCACTCAGTATTGTAGTGAAAATGGCATCAGAAGACACTTAACGGCACCGTACACCCCTCAACAAAACGGTGTTGTTGAGAGAAGGAACCGAACGTTATTGGAGATGACACGAAGCATGTTGAAAGCTATGAAGGTACCGAACTATATGTGGGGTGAAGCAGTTCGACACGCAACGTACTTGATAAATCGAGTTCCAACTAGAGCCTTGAAAAACCAAACTCCTTATGAACGTCTAAAGGGAAGAAAGCCAAGTATTGGACATATAAGAGTTTTTGGTTGTTTAGCTTACGCTAAGGTCGATGCAGCTCTACTAAGGAAGCTTGACGATAGGTCACAATGCCTTGTTCATCTAGGCATAGAACCTGGATCGAAAGCTTACCGCTTATACAATCCTAGCACAAGAAAAATAGTAGTAAGTCGCGATGTGAAGTTTGATGAGGAGAAATATTGGAACTGGAATGGAGAAAAGCAAGCAGATTCTGGTATGTTTCACTTGACGTGGGGATCAAGCATTGACGAAGGAAAGGGTCCATTTGTTATCTCACAAGAAGAAAATACAGAGGCTGAAACTGAAGTTGAGGCAGAAACAGAAACAGAGCAAACTGAACCAGTGTATGAAGATGAGAACAATGAACCAAGGAGATCAACGCGACAAACGAAAACTCCTACTTATCTAGACGACTACATACTACTTGCCGAGATCGACTGTGAACTACTCCTACACTCCATCAACGACGAACCAACAACATATCAAGAAGCAAAGAAACATGTTAGTTGGACAAGAGCATGCGAGGATGAGATAGATTCTATCAACAAAAATAAGACATGGACGTTGGTAGATAAACCTCAAGGAGTTAAAGTCATTGGTCTAAAGTGGATTTTTAAAATCAAGAGGAATGCGGATGGATCAATCAACAAATTCAAAGCCAGACTTGTAGCAAAATGATATGTACAAGAACATGGCATTGACTTTGAAGAAGTGTTTGCTCCAGTTGCTCGCTTAGAAACAATCCGACTTCTAGTGAGTTTAGCATCTGCAAACGTCTGGGAAATACACCACTTAGACGTCAAGACGGCGTTCTTACACGGAGAGCTACTTGAAGAAGTCTATGTAACTCAGCCTGAGGGATTTGAAAAAGAGGGAGAGGAACATAAAGTTTTCAAACTCTCTAAGGCTTTGTATGGACTAAGGCAAGCTCCTCGCGCTTGGAACACTAAGCTCGATCAAATCTTGAAGAAGTTAAGATTCAAGAGATGTGCAAAGGAGAGTTCAGTATATAAAAGAGAAGAGAAAGACGAACTGCTGATCATCGCCATTTATGTGGATGATCTACTTATTACAGGAAACTCTACGAAAATAATCAAGGAGTTCAAAGCTTCAATGTCGAAGCAGTTTGAGATGTCGGACCTCGGCTTACTAACCTACTATCTAGGTATTGAAGTAAAGCAGAGTGAAGCTGGAATCATCATTAAGCAAGAAGCATACGCAAGGCGTATACTAGAAGAAGCAGGTTTGGCCGACTGTAATCCAAACTGCATTCCAATGGAGTTCGGCTTACAACTTTCCAAGGCAATGGAAGAACCAGAAGTTGATGCAACTCAATATCGAAGGAGGATTGGATGCTTAAGGTATCTTATGCATACTAGACCCGACATGGCATTCTCAGTTGGGATTCTAAGTAGGTATATGCAATCACCGAGAGAGCCACACGGAAACGCCTTAAAGCAAGTGTTGCGTTATCTACAAGGTACTCTCGGGCATGGTCTTGAGTTCAAGCGAGGAAGAACACAGAAGCTTGTAGGCTTTAGCGACAGCAGTCATAACACGGATCCGGACGATGGTAGGAGCACTACAGGTCACTTGTTTTGCTTAGGAGAAACACCAATAACATGGTGCTCTCAGAAACAAGACACAGTAGCTTTGTCATCCTGCGAAGCCGAATTCATGGCTGCAACAGAAGCGGCTAAACAAGCTATCTGGTTACAAGATCTGTTGAGTGAAGTAACAGGAAAAGAAGTAGAGAAGACAATGATTTTGGTCGACAACAAATCGGCCATATCACTGGCCAAGAATCCAGTCTTTCACCGTCGAAGCAAGCACATCCACAAGAGGTTTCATTTCATTAGAGAGTGTGTTGAACGCAATCTCATTGACATTGAACACGTACCCGGAACAAGACAGAAGGCAGATATACTAACAAAAGCTCTAGCAAAGATCAAGTTTAAAGAAATGCGAGAGATGATCCAAGCTCAAGATTTCCTAGAAGATGGTTTGAAGCTTAAGAGGGAGAATGTTGGATAAGCTTCAAGAGATAACTTAGGAAACAAGTTATTCTAAAGATAAGGTGAATAACTAATAGATTTAGGATAAAGATAAAGGTTCCTAGATTAACTTGTAATAGGAAAAGTTAAGTAGTTTCTATTGCATATATATAGAGATCAAAAGTGTAAGGAGATCTCAAGAAAGAAAGTTTAAAGAAAGCAAAGGAAGNGCTTCAAGAGATAACTTAGGAAACAAGTTATTCTAAAGATAAGGTGAATAACTAATAGATTTAGGATAAAGATAAAGGTTCCTAGATTAACTTGTAATAGGAAAAGTTAAGTAGTTTCTATTGCATATATATAGAGATCAAAAGTGTAAGGAGATCTCAAGAAAGAAAGTTTAAAGAAAGCAAAGGAAGATTAATAAAATAAAGAAAACGTTTTATTAACTTGTGTTCTTATTCTCTATAGTTTGACTCTTTACATAGCCAACTTGATTTATGTTGTGTATGAACACTTTGAATTTCCAAGTAGAAGGCGTGGTGTTTAATTCTCAGATGATAGAGAACATAGCTAATGGATAATGTGACTTTAGGAGCTCTTAAAAGGTGGATGCGCTCTGTTACTTCTTTTTTCGTTTTTTTCCTTAGTCTCTTTGAGCTTAAAGAAGGTCCCTGTAGTACTAAAACCTTCCCTCAAATTGCAAACATTCCTGTAGCTACTTGTCTTACTTTTATGCAGCATTATGGCAAACAGTTAAAGTTTTCCACAAGTCACATGAAAACAATAATTTTCTTCGATGTGTCTAATCTAAAAAAAATCTTTAGGAAATGTTCACAGATATCAACTTCCTTGAGTTTAAACCACTAGCGATTGCAGAAGCTGCACTTATTCTGAGCTGTCCTATACAGTTTCCATGCTTCTTTAAGGAAATCTGCCATTTCCCATATACAAGATGGCTAATGGAGTGTTACAAATCAATAAATGAGAGAGAGGTAGTTGAAGAAGAAAAAGGGAGCAACGAAACAGCAGTAAACGTGCTTGATATAGACGACTTCACCTAAGAATCTATTTCTGATCTTCCTTCAAAGACAATCTCCTTAGTAGTTATGAGTGCGTCGCTAAAACCTAATCAACTGACCCAGTCTTAAACTTTGCTGCTATTAGGACAACCGTATGTTTTTTTGTGGTATAATCTGGCCTTTTATATCGCTATTTGCTTTAGGGTTGATTCAACTAAACATGGGTCATTTGCTTGCTCACTACCACTACCGACTATCTTGCCAGGTCAGTAAGAAAACAAGCATTGTTTGTTGTTGTTTTCGGTATTATTTATACTTTTTATAGGTCGTTAATTAGAGAGAATCTTGGTCCTTCCGAAAATCATGATTCCTTGCTCTGGTAACTGGTAACTCTAACCTATCTCCCTTAGTGTGTGTTTATAATATTAAGTCGGCTCCATCATAGTTTAGGTTGGTTTGATCATAGCTGTTTTTATGAGCGACTGCGACCAGGTTCAGAAGATGGATGTTAGTCACCAAGAAACTCTTTGAAAGCACACTCCTCTTCTTACGCAACAAGTACAATCTTTGGAGAAGAAATGCCAACGACTTCCTATAACACGCTGCAAGTGGTTACAAGACAATATGGAGCGTGAGGTGGCAGCAAAGAATTTGGTATTACATACTTGGGAAGACACTTAAAATTTTCATGGTCATCCAATTGCATCTTGGCTTGAGCTTGAGTGCTTTGTCAACTCTTGGTTCATGACGAATCACAAAGTCCATTTAGATCAGTGTTGTACTAGCTACTAGCTTGGCTTCACATTTTCTGCCTTCGTTTGCCCAAAGTTGTTTCAGATAACTAAAAAAATATATATATATAAAACAGAAAAAATTGCATATACGGTTTTGTCAAGTTTTGTCCTCTTCAGTTTTATCTTCAGTAGTAGTACACATGTTCATATCTTGTGCTCTTATGCTAGATGATATGACCAATTGACCATGCAAAGTTGATATAAAGAACAAAATGGAGGTGAGTAATGAGAAATTCAAAGAATAAAACTTCAAATACTGCTTTTAACTGAAACAAATGGTAAATCTCATAAACACCCAAAAATGTTTTTTTTTACCAAAAAAGAAACTAATAAAAAATGAACAAAAGATGTTCTACTAAAAAGGTAAAACCCTTTTATATCATTATATATATATATCTGTTGGTTTTTACAAATAATAAATATTATCATCTTCATATATATCACCTCATTTAATTTAAATAATTTTGATATTTAAATACATATATATATATATATATATTTAAATAACTATAAAATGATATTAATAAATTTTTAAGATTTACATGTGTGAAGAAATCAAAAGTTATATAAAATTACATCATAAATTAGAAAAAACAACATATTTGTTTTTTAAAATAAAACATAATTAATAAATTTGATTATGTTAGTATATTTATTTACATGTATACATATATTATATAAGTAAAAACCTATAATTATATTGTTTGTTTTCTATTCACAATAGAATTATTATTATATTTTCTTAACACTTAATATATTTTTGATGAGATTTAGTAATATTTTATCTAAATCCATATTTAAATTGTATGCAATATATATTATATAAAATAAATAATATAATATAACAAAATTAATATAAATTTCAAATTTTAAAAATAATAATTAATATCTATGCAATAAAATTAAATATTTATTATCTTATAGTAAATATATTTTAAAATAAGAAATATAAATAAGGAAACTTTTGTAAATTAATATTTTTATAAATTAGTAAAATTTCAAAGTCTCAACATTAGTAATTATTGAGATTCTATTCTATATAGATCGAGAGACCAACCAATCGGTTTATCGAAACATGCCTATTAATTTGAATCGAATTTTTGTAATGTTTATCTTGCATTATGGTTGATAAGAAAAAAAAAGAATTATAGTTGATAATGAATATAATATCATTGTAAAAATACTGAAATTTTCTAAATATTTTTTTTTGCTTATATACCGGTTTAGCTTTTAGATTCATTGAATTTGAATATAATAATTATTTACTGCATGAACCTTGGATGCTAGGAAAGTAGAAATTAAAAGACAAAAAATACGTTGTATACAATATGTGTGATTAATCGACCATATGTGTATTTTGTTGATCCTTATAAACTATGTGACCTTAAACTTTTAGAAGTGATACTATGATAAAACAATTGTAAAAGTTTTCCTTGCAAACAAGTCATACAAGTTTTCTTTGCAAACAAGTCATACAGAAGACATAATGATATTAGTAAAATCAATAAAGTTAGTAATGCTATATGAACTGAAACAGGTAATCGAGTCAAGCCGGTCATTTTTTCTCTATCTCGAATTGTCTTTTAATATGCACTATTTAAGTTGATCAATATTTTATAAAATAATTCACCTCCGTGATCATACAATCTCATTGATAACATATCAAATTCATATTCCAATAGTCTTCTGCCAATCCCTTTTTCACGGTCATAATTTTATTAACTTAAAAACATTCACGACACCATTAAATAGTTCCAAATGATAACCTAGCAAACAAACAACGATAACTAGAATAAATAGTTTAACTCATATAACAAATAAATCATATCTCGCCCGTAAGACGGTCAACCACTAGTAGATATATATAATATTAAAAAGGTAAAAATAATTTAAAAGTTTAAAACAAATAACCCGAACGTAACCCAGGAAAGCCCCTAGTATCTCTAGAATACACTAATACTATTACGAAATTAATTAACTCAAATATTTAGTCCAATATATAGTTTTGATATTTATTCAATATTAGTTTTTATGTTTTAACAATTAATGTATTTGAAATTCATTTATGAATAAGTTTGCATTTTAAGTTAAACAGTGTTGTTTTAAAAGTTAAGTAGTGTTTCTTATGTTTATAGAGTTGCGAGCTGTTCATTTTTAATTTGCTTATGTTTTATTAGATAAGATTCTCGTTTGTATAAGATTATGGGTTATCGTAAATCATGATTTCCTGACATTGTCATATATAGTTTAAGGATAAATTTTATATGGTTAATAAATGAATCTAACAGAGTTATTTGAAAGACAATAATATGATTTGAAGAATCATACACTAGTGTATTGAAAATGTTGGAAATATATTAAGTTTAATAAAGTATAAAGTAATATTTTTGGAATTAATAACCCTGAGTAATTATAAAATTTTACTAGTGAATTAAATCCGATTTGAACTTTTATGATATCCAAAAGAAGCAATGAACCCAAAAATTTGTTACGTAAATGACTTTTATAATTGCCAGCCCTAATGTCTTTGTCTGATTTTATCCTTAAAACACTTTCAACGTCCAGTCACTAATTTTTACCTCTTGGCCATTGTAAGAAAATGACTCTATTTGCCTCTCAGGCATTAATTTTTTTTTCAATTGAACTTTTCCTCTCGTTTGAATGTTTGACTAAAATAAAAGAATTTTGATCGTACGTTTAAAGAAGTTCAAAACCTACCACGTGTTTTGTTAACTTCGATATTACCCGCAAGATACAGGAATAGGACGTGTCACCCTGGATGTGCCGGATCAGCATCCATATTTTTGTTTAATAATTTAAAGGAAACTAGTGTTTGACCCGCGCGCCCGCGCGGGTGTTTTGTATGTAGTTAGACCTTATTTTAACGAAAAATCATATTGTTTAAACTTTGATATTGTATGTTGTAAAATTGTATGATATTTCCTCTTTTTCATAATAAGTATCACTTTAATTTTTTTATTTTGTTTAAAAAAAATCTCATTCTACAATCCCAATTTAATTTTATACATTAAATCTACTTTTTATCCTTTTGGATAACCAATTGATTTATATTTAAATAATTCTCATTTAATTAAATATACATTAATTAGATAAAGATATATTAGTCTATTATACTTTTTTTTAATCTTTGTGAAAAGTGTCAAAGTAACACTTATTTTAGAAACAGAGAGAATACTATTTTGGATGTGACTTGTTCAGAAATTTTATGATATAATATATTTAGTAATCTACTAATAACCTTTGTTTTGTCAACCTTCTAGTAAAGATTAATAGAAATGATCATTATGAAAATGTACATTTAGTTTATGATCATTTCTAATACATTTTGTTTTTTTTTAATAAGGAACTATAACTGAAATGAAAATTTACTCTAACGACTAAAATAACATTCCTCTAAATATAGAATAAATTAGAAAAACTATTTCTTTTAAATCTAAGGAAAATAGAAAATTTTATTTTAGAACTTTCTTGACTTTCATTCTTTTTGTCTTTCGGAATTCAAAACCTAAATGATCTAAAAAAAGGTTCATCGAAGTCTTTTTTGTATAAGAGATTTTCCTTATATTTTTATTTAACAAATTTTCACTGTAGAAAATAAGTAAAAAAAAAACAAAAGAATGATAGAAACACTTATTGGAAACACTTATTTAAGAAGTCTCTTAAATGATTGCTTTACATATCTTTGGCTTTATGTTCGGGAGATTTTGTGTAATGGTTTTTGTTCACAGCAAAAAAAAATCGTATTGTGTTTTTACCTGAGGGACTTAACAAATAAAACGGAGGTTTCCTTTTCATTTGCTTCGTTTCTTGATTTTGATATAGGGATAACTCCGCGTAACCTGATCAAGTAACCTAACATTCCAATTCCTTAGACATGATTCTTGAAACTTAGAATCAAAACCACCACTACTACTGCATCTTTGGAGTTTCATTAGCACATGTCAAAGAGAAATTCACAATTCACTTAGATCTTATCAGGCGTGGTGCTCACAATGGCCATAGATGATAGATAAGTAGGATATATTTTCTCTTAGAAAGTGTTAATGTACATAAGAGATGAATTGTTTGCCTGCAGAGTCAAAGCGCTGGTGTGTTTGGCAAGTGCAATTGTAATTCCAACAACTTGTTTCTCTGTGATAAGGGTAGCAGGAAAGAGAAATACAATAAATATAGGAGCTACTTAAAGGAGGAGATTCATAGAGTTTATCTTTTCCTTTCAAACAAACT